CCCCGGGCACCAGTTCATGCTGCTCCAGCTTTTCTACGTGACATCTGGAAACACACATTTAGTGCTGACAACTGAGCAAGGCTACAGGCGTCTTTCCCTCCTGAGTGGCTGCCTCGCCCTGCAGACCCGGCTTCCCAGGGGGACGCACCAAGTGGTTAGATTCGATAGGTTCTTTTGCAACAGGAAGAGGCTACATCAATAAAAGCCCTAGCGGTGAGAGGGGACAGGATGGAGGCTAGTCGGACACTAACGTGTACGAGGTGAAATGCAAGTCAAACACGATCAGAACCAACCAGATTGGTCCTCGTGGACGCCATCCAGGGGACACAGCCAAGGCGTTGCAATGGTTGCTACAGCTGCAGTGACAACTGTGTAGGCTCCCAGCCACGGCACTGCGTCCCGGAGGTGCGGGGCCAACAGTCACCAGATGAGCTCCAAGTCGCTCGTGACTAATGAAGCCTGCAGCTTCACACGGGAATTACATTAAATATAAATTTAGTGGCTTCAAAGCCGTCTCTGTGACAGCCAGGCTGTCACTCGCCTGCATGGCTGGATGTTTTCCTGAGTGGGCGACAAAGGGTGGAGTTGTAGATTTACTGCCGAGAACGGTCACCATGCACAGCAACCTAGCTCTCCTTCTGCTATGGGAGAAGGCACTCCAAATAAGGGAGCAGAAAAAAATCTACAAACCCAGGAGCTCTCATCCCCTCCTACTGCGGAAGAAGCCCAGAGGGAAAGAGGAGGCACTGTTGTTACCTTTGTGAGCAACCTGGGGGCGGCTCTGAGAGTGCTTCCAGTGCATGGCCCACCCCCCACAGGGCCTCAGGTCAAGTTAAATTAGGACTGGATTCAACCAAGAGCTAAAATCAGTCTCCTATTTGGTAGCAATAACCAATATTTGGTAGAAATAAGCAAACTTCTTCCCCTTCATTTAACTTTTTTTTTTAAGGATTTATTTATTTATTTGAAAGGCAGAGTTACAGAGAGAGATTGATTTTCCATCCGCTGGTCACTCCTCAAATGGCCACAATGGCTGAAGCTGGGCCAGGCCGAAGCCAGGAGTTTCTTCCCTGTCTCCCATGTGGGTGCAGGGGCTAAAAGCACTTGGGCCATCCTCCACTGCTTTCCTGGGCGCATTGGCCAGGAGCTAGATCAGAAGTGGAGCAGCTGGGACTTGCACCGTTGTCTATAAGGCATGCTGGCACTGCAGGTGGCAGCTTTACCGGTTATGTCACAGTGCCAGCCCCTCTGACAACAGATTTAGCTTCCGACAACAAATTCAATTCCTCTACTTCCTTTATTGCTTTAGGAAAAATCAGGTGTATCTCAAAGCAAGAGAAACTGTAAGCCAACAGTCTCACATTCCGGTAAGCAAGGATCCAGGAGTGGAAGGAAACCACAACCAAAACTGAGGAGGCTGCCTGGCCCCACCCAAGTACTCCCACACACTATTCAGCTTGGGAGCCAGCCAGTCCCACGCCCTCCTTCCACACTGCCTGGTGGCCCAGTGATTGGCCCCCAGTGGCTGAGGCTGGTACTGCCACCGGCCAGCAGAGAGGAATGCTACTGTGACAAGATGGTAGGCAGCAAGAGTGACGATGCATGGACAAAGCTGACCAGCACATCGTGCCCACCAGGGAGGGCAGCAAGTAACCCAGACACTTGCTGCGTGAAGCTGAGATTAGCTCTTTTAACCACGAAGAGACATTAAAAACGGGATACGTGGAGCAGGCGTCTGGCCTAGTGTTTAAGAGGCTTGTATACATGGCCGGCGCCGCGGCTCACTAGGCTAATCCTCCGCCTAGCGGCGCCGGCACACCGGGTTCTAGTCCCGGTCGGGGCGCCGGATTCTGTCCCGGTTGCCCCTCTTCCAGGCCAGCTCTCTGCTGTGGCCACGGAGTGCAGTGGAGGATGGCCCAGGTGCTTGGGCCCTGCACCCCATGGGAGACCAGGAAAAGCACCTGGCTCCTGGCTCCTGCCATCGGATCAGCGCGGTGCGCCGGCCGCAGCGCGCCGGCCGCGGCGGCCATTGGAGGGTGAACCAACGGCAAAAGGAAGACCTTTCTCTCTGTCTCTCTCTCTCACTGTCCACTCTGCCTGTCAAAAAAATAAAAAAAAAAAAAATAAGAGGCTTGTATACACATCAGAATATCTGGGTCCAATTCCTGACTCCAGCTCCTGACTCCAGGTTCTTGCTTAATGCAGACGCTGGGAGGCAGCAGTGATGGTTCAAGTAACTGGGCCCCCGCCACCCTGGAGATGTGGATTGAATTCCCGACCCCAGGCTTCAGCCTCTGCCCAGCCCTGGCCATTGCAGGCATTTGAGGAATGGATCCGCAGATGGAAGCCGGCTCTTCATTTCTCTAAGAAAAAAAAAAAATCACAGGGCTGGCACTGTAGCATAGCAGCTACAGTGCCGGCATCCCATACAGGCACCAGTTCAAGACCCAGCTGCTCCGCTTCTGATCCAGATCCCTGTTAATGTGCCTGGGAAAGCAGTGGAAAATGGCCCAAGTGTTTGGGCCCCTGCACCCATGTGGGAGACCTGGATTAAGCTCCTGGCTCCTGGCTTCGGCATGGCCCAGCTCCAGCCATTGCGGCCATTTGGGGAGTGAAGCAGCGGATGGACGATCTCTTTCTCTCCCTTTCCCCTTACATAACCCCTCCCCCTGAAACTCTGAATTTCAAATAAATAAATAAATAAATTTTAAAAAATCACAAATGAAGCTGTTAATTTTTTTAGAGATATGTTGATTTACAAATTGACAGGCTAAACTCAATTTCTGGAACATTTATTTTTAGGTAAATAAGCAGCTGGATGAGCTTTGGTTTGAGTCCACTTTCAGCAATAAAAGAGGCCAGGGATTATAAAAAGATGCTATCCGGTACCCCTGTAGCTCTCTGGCCTGGGGTGTGACAGACTGTCACAGGCAAGTCCCCACTGAGAACAGAGATCCAGAGGAACAGCCGTGTGTCGGCCTCCGTCAGCAGTGAACATGGCAGGGTCAGTACCCAGCAGCCTCTGCAGGATCTGAGAGAAGCTGGGCGCGTGGGGTGAAACGGCCCTGCGAGCTCTGTGCTTTCACCGAGACACAGCTGCGAGTCCTGGCCCACGCCCAGGCCCCAGCTCTTATCTTTACTCATACGTGAAACCAATCGATGGATAAGATGCAACAGGATCTAAGCAATACATGGCTAGCAACAAGGTCAGCTCTGCCTGAGAACTCTCTGGATACTGCTGTAAACTACCAGATGAAAAAATAAGCACTCACTGAATTTCTTAGCAAGATAACAACACCTTGAGTATTGAAAACAGTGAGGGCAAAATGAGATGTTAGACTTACAAGTGTCTCCCAGATAACAAAACTTACGTCCTTCAAGGCTTGGGACATTTTAGCCAGTTTTTTTTTTTTTTTTTTTTTTTTTTTTTTTTTTTTGTCAAGAAGTCACGTAAGGACGTAAGAACAGACTCAACGTAATACAACAAGACCCTGCTGACATCAACGCAGACATGAAGAGGCCTGTGCTGACCGAAGCAGACAAATGTGAAGACAGAAAACTGCTGTGCACGGACGTGTGTTCCCGGACAAAGGTTCTCCTCTAAACTGTCAAGGGGACCTGGCGGGGTGGGGGCAGAGGCCACTCAAGCGATGGTCCCTGGGACGGGAAGGAGCTGCTGGCCCAGGCTCACCGGCCCTGGGGCTGGGATGCTGCGGGCTGCATTTTCCTTCTCCTTCCTCGCAGCTTTTTCTGTCTTCAGCCTCACTTCTCACCCACGCTGCTCCTAGCCCATCCACTCCTGTGGCTGCTCTCTCTCCCCACCAAGTGCCTCACATTTCTACCACTATTCCTTCACCTCTGGTGTGAGGACAAACATTACTTGTTTTTTTGTTTCTTTTTAAAAACATGATGCAAACTTCGGATCAGCAGATGGGTCACGTGTCCTTGTCAATTTCAGCACTTACTGCCCGTTTCATTTCTGCTCAATACCCAGGCTACCTCTACTTACCTTTGGCTTTGTGAGTGCTTTGGAAGGCTTAGGACACATGATGCCTAACTGTGGGGGACATCATGGGGAGCAGGCTTCCTGCAGACTTCAGTAGTGGAACTCCCGATGTTAGCAATGCGCAGGCCCCCCCCAACACAGCCCCCCCACTCAGCCGACAGTGTACAGACCGCTTTCAGAGAGCTGAGGTGCCTTGTCTCTTTGCTACTTGATATTCATATCTGAAATATCTGCAGGCCCCGTCTGGGCTGGGATTTGCAAGAAATATTTAGAGCTTGCTCAGCATGGTGTTTTCCATCACGTTCTATAATTGGGATGCTGGGAAATGAGCCGTAAAGAAAGAATAAAGAAAAATGCTACTGCTTCCCCCTTAGTTGGGAGATTATGGCAAACGCGCAGAATGACAAGAAGGGAGCTCGAGGAGGTAGGTGGGTCTCCACACGCAGGATGGCAGGACGGGCTCAGTACCCCAGCACCGGGCAGACACCGGGAGCAACCGCTGAGCACCGGCAAAGCGCCCCTGCTCCTATCCTGAGGCAAGAACCAGTGTGAGAGCTGGCAGTCTCGGCACAAAAGAGAAGACGCAGGGGCTCAGGATGTCTCAACACACTGCTTTTAGCCCATGCACGTCGTGGACGCCATTTCACAGGGGAAGGGGAGGTGCGGATAAGGTGGTTTTTTTTTTTTTTGTTTGTTTGTTTTAAGATTTATGTATCTGAAAGACAGAATTACAGACACCGAGGAGAGGTACAGTGCCAAGGAGAATCAGGAGTATAGCAGAACGCAGAGAATACAAAAAAGGCTGAATTCTTCGTGGATAAGAAGCACGCCCAGAGATGCCACTTCGCCAAAAGCTGAGAGGCGAACACATTCCAACAACAGAAAGAGGAGCCCAGTATGTCCAAAAGTAAGCAGTGCCACCAGCCAGGAGACGGCGAGGGGCCAAGGTCCCCGGCAGCCCAGGTGCAGGTGCACGTGCACATTAGCTACTTACCTCGCTGCTGTCCTCGGCGGGCAGGTGCGGAGGCGGGACTTCCTCATCCAGCGGCTCAATCACTGTCACCTCTGCAAACTCCTCCCCGGACTCCTGAAACTCGGGCAAGGACCTCCGTCCATAGCGCTTGCCACCTCGAACATACTTGGGCTGCGCTTCGAGGGGGCAGTCTGGACAAGGAGACAAGAGTTGAGGCCACATGACACGAGAGTCTCAGCCCCGAGCGTCTCGGCCCCGAGCTGACACACACAGCCGTCGCGCCCGGCCTCTTATACCAGCCTCAAAATAAACCCCCACCGCTTGCCACTTGCGGTGGCCGTGGGCGTGTACGAGCCATCAGGTCACACGCAGAGCACGGCTTCTAATTCGGGGTGATTTATGGCACCCTGAATGGATATCTGCATAGGGTGGGACACGTGCACCCACCGCAGCGAGCGATTTGACTTCAAAGCACATAACAGATCAGGAAAAGGTGAGGAGTTGTATTAGTTCTTCTGTTAATTAAGCTGGTGTTTCGAAAGCAGGTGGAAGGGGAGATAGAGAGAGTTGCTATATTCACAGACTGATTCCTCCCAGGAAACCTTGGAAAATGGTAAGAAAACCAACACCGGATCCGCAGTGGGAAGTTGGTACCCACACCAATTAGTCTGAAAAGCCCTCCCTCGACTCGGAAACTCCTTCATTAAGCTCACCACTCTGATCTACCCGACAAGCAGGGCACCCGACACCACAGACTCTTAGCAACGCTGACATGGAACTGGGCATCGGGACCTCGTTATAAAATTCAGAGTCGTGGAAGAACACAGCAAGTGTGAAACCGCATCGAGAAAAAATGGGATGTTTGCCTTCATGAGCTTCTGTGTTGTCCAAAATAAAAAGGAACATGCACTGAGGGAGAGCCATCTCAGGTTCAAGGTTCCCCATCACCTTCACCCCCAGCCTGCACCACAGCCATGGCCACCACCACTGAGGCCAGTACCATCACCTCTGCCACCCTATCACTTCTAAACCCTCCGATACAACAGACAGCTTTAAAGCAATAAAACAAATACTTCACTGTACTCAAATGTCATCTTAGACACTGATTTTTTTTTAGCGCCTTGCCCAGTAATAGCAGAATATAACATTCCACTAACATACAAAAGACCGGCACTACTTTGCTGTCTGTTGTGTTATCCACAGACACACATGGTCTCCCTGGGGAAGGCAGAATGTGCTCTGAGCATGATGGTCTCAGCAGGTGCATCTCAACTCAGACACGTAGATTCTGAGATCAGTTCTGTGCACGTAACATCAAATGACAGTGGCTGACTAGACAAGAACTAAAAGACAACCCTGCCTGAATCTCCCTGGAAACCACCATGCTGGGGCTTTCCTGGGAGGATGGGTGCTCCTGTGTGACCATCCTCCTCCCCCGATGCCCTTCCCCAGGCCCAGGCTCAGATTTCAAACCCTCACAAGTGTGGCCAGAAGCACTCTGAAAATGCTCAGCGCAGCTCAGAATGAGGCATTTATGCAAGCGTTATCACTGCTTAGCGATATTTATATCCAGGACTTGAAAAAGTCACAGCCACATCATTTCAGGAGGTCAAGCGATTCTCCGACAGGAAGTGCTGAGGCATACAGCATCCACACTGAAAACCACACGCAGAGGGGAAGGTACCCTTCATCAGCAGAGAACATGTCAGCTTGCAAGTGCTCAGGGGTGGCCCGGACACCCGAGCTCCTGTTGGTAGCTGATACCCACAGATGCTGATCGGGTAAGAGGCAAGGCAGAGTCATCCTTAATGGATTACAGTTCTCACTTTTAGTGGCGCACCACAGATACACTGTTGAGTGACCAGGCGGGTTTGGAGAGGACCAAAAGGAAAACATACAACCTTGGGAGATGGAGCATGGGATTTTCCCAGTGGGAGAGCAAAGTCACTTTCTGTGCAGGGAAACGATCAAGGAGCCCTGGTGGCAGAATGGGCTTTTTCAGAGGGAAACAAGCATGAGAAAACAACTCTCCCAGAAAATCCACCGTGATCTCTGCCCAGACCCTCCTGGGCACGACAGCGCTCCCCAGCTATTCACTCCCTACCCCATGCAGTGGAGGGCGCAGCACAGCTGGGACAGCTCCTTTTGAAGCAATGGAAGGCAGCAGAGACTGTGAACACTTGGAGGACACTGCAGAGTCTGGTTTAGGAACTGACCTGCTGATGTTTGCATTGTCAGCAACTTCAAACACTTTAATGTATTGAATTACACTGTATTATCATAATAATTGATTTTAATCAAATGTTAATCCTACATGGAATGCACTTAGGAGAGGTCTTCAAAAGATTGATGGAAAATATGTATTATGAAAAAGCTGGGAATGAATTGCAAATATTTGTTGCATCAACATAGATTCATTTTGGTGAGAGGCAAGTGGGAGAGGGAGCTAGAGAATGAGCCAGTGAGTTCCCATCCACTGGTTCACTTCCCATTTGCTCGCAATGGCCCTGGCTGCTACCAAAGCCAGAAGCAGGGACTCAATCCAGGTCCCCCACATGGGGGGGATCCCCAGGCCATCACCACTGCCTTCCAGGCTCTGCATTAGTAGGCTACTGGAGTTGGAACGAGAACCCAAGGTCCCCAGGATGGGATTCGGACATCCTAATCGGCATCTTAACTGCTGGGCTGAACGCCTTTTTTTTTTTTTTTTTTTAAGATTTATTTATTTATTTGAAAGTCAGAGTTACACAGAGAGAGAAGCAGAGGCACAGGGGGGTGGGTCTCCCATTGCTGGTTCACTCCCCAATTGGCCACAACGGCCAGAGCTGCGCCAGTCTGAAGCCAGGATCTTCCTCCAGGTCTCCTGCATGGGTGCAGGGGTCCAAGAACTTGGGCCATCTTCCAGTGCTTTCCTGGGTCATAGCAGAGAGATAGATTGGAAGTGGAGCATCCAGGACTCAAACTAGTGCCCCTATGGGATGCCAACACTGCAGGCGGCAGCTTTACCCGCTATGCCACAGCACTGGCTCCATAAACTTATTTCTTAATTCAATTTATCCAAGAATGTTTTGAAGTGCCCTCATATGTGACAAAGTCAATTTCTAGAGAACCCTATTAAGCCACATAATCTTTCAGAATAAAGACATTAGCACGCACAGAGGAAAAATGGATTACCCAGGCTTCCTCATCCCCAAGTTCCCCCAGCCGTGCCTGTGACCCACAGAGGCGGCGGCTTGTCACAGCACTGAGAACACTCACCTCTTAGAATGACACCGGCACACACCCTCTCCTGTGCAGACCACAGCACAGACCACACAAGATGAGTGCGGCAAAGGCAGGGAGGTGCAGTGGTTAGTCACGGAGCAGTCACCGCTGCGGGAGGTTGCAAAGTGTGAGCAGGCTCCAGGGCTTTAGAAGCCCCCAGCAGCAGTCAATCCCCCAAGCAGGAGGGCACTGCTCAACTCAAAGGAGGGCTCATTCGGTGCCTGCTACACCCAGAACTGCAGCTCTGGGCAAAGTCTGCTGCTTCATGAAAGCATCCAACAGATGGGACTCACATGTTTCCAGGGTTTCATTTTGTTTGGTTTCTTAAGAATGGAGAGGTGACAGGTATTTGGTGCAGTGGTTACGAGGCTGTCTGGGATGACTCCGCATCCCATATCAAAGCACCAGGGTTCAGTTCTTGGCTCTGCCTCCTGACGCCAGCTTCCTGCCAATGCAAACTTTGGGAGGTAGTGGTGGCAACGGCTCACACATTAGGGTCAATGCCACCCAAATGGCAGATCAGGGTTGTGTTCCTAGAGACCGGCTTCAGCCCAGCCCAGGGCCAGCCAGTGGGGGCATCTGGGAAGTGAACCAGAGCATGGGCGCTCTCTCTACTTGTCTGTCTCTATATATCTCTGCTTCTCAAACTTTTTTTTATAAAAGAAAGGAAATTATTTGTGTCACATGTCTTTCTTTAGCCTAAATAAAACCAGCTGCTCCAGTCCTGGGCTCCATGCTGGTGAAACTAAGCACTCAGAATGGCAGTACTGGCAGCATGGCAGTTCCCTGGAAGGATACTCCCGAGTCCTCCTGGGTTGCCAAGCTTCTCAGCCATTGCCCCTTCTTCCCTATTTTCTATTTCTCCTGCTTGGCAGCACTGCATAAACATCAGCATGAGCTCTGAAGGGAAGTACAGGAGACCAGCCTGCCTTGAGCAGTCGCAGCCCCTCTCCAGAGAGCTGATTATGACGCACCAGGAGTAGGGTTGGCGGTGAGGCAGCCCTGGCTGACCTAGTTTACACGATCAGGGTTTTATTCCATGAACCCAACACCTGGTTATGAGCAGCAGACAAGACAGAAACTGATTGGGGCGTAGTGGGTAAAGACGCTGCCTGCAGTGCCAGCATCCTATATGGGCGCCAGTTCGAGTCCTGGCTGCTCCACTTCCGATCCTGCTCTCTGCTATGGCCCGGGAAAGCAGCAGAAGATGGCCCAAGTCCTTGGGCCCCTGCACCCTTGTGGGAGATCAGGAGGAAGCTCCTGGCTCCTGGCTTCGGATCTGCGCAGCTCTGGCCTTTGTGGCCAACTGGGGAGTGAACCAGTGAATGGAAGACCTCTTTCTCTCTCTATCTCTGCCTCTCTGTAAGTCTGCCTTTCAAATAAATAAATAAATCTTAAAAAGAAAAAAAGAGAGCTAGAGAGAAAGAAACTGTCCCCTTAGGATTGCTGAAGTCACATAGAAGTGACTGACAGGCTCCACGTAGCACGCAGAGGAACACATTCAGGACATCCCAGATCCCATTTCTTCCTGCCTTGGAAATTAAAGCTTTGATGCGCAGGCACCACATTCTATGTTTAAAGGGTTTATTTATTTGAAAGGCAGTGTGAGTGAGAGTGTGAAAGAGAGAGAAGGACAGGGGGAGGGAAGGAGGGAAAGAGAGAAGGAGAGAGAGAAGGAGAGAGAATCAATCTTCCATCCACTGGTTCACTCCCCAGATGGCTACAACAGCCTGGAGTGGTCCAGGTAGAAGCCAGGAATCCCCAACTCCATCCAGGTCTCCCACATGGATGGCAGGGACCCAAGCACTTGAGCCATCTTCTGCTGCTTTCCAAAGACACATTACCAGGAAGCTGGATTGGAAGCAGAGCAGCCAGGACTCCAACCAGTGCTCACATATGCGATGCCGGCATTGCCAGCAGTAGCTTA